CTCACCTGTCACCATTCCACTTACCTTCCCCAGTCCTACACTTCCTTCCTTTATTTATTTCTGAGCTCCCCTCCTCCTCTCCATTTCTGAAGAAAGGTCCCGACTTGAAATGTCAGCTTTCCAGCTCTGATGCTGCCTGGCCTGCTGTGCTCTTCCAGCTCCACACTTTATCTTGTACCCAAATCTCACTTGCTGCATTTCAGAAATAATAAAGCAAAGTGCTACGCAATAGAATGCTAAATATTTCAGGTATTCTATATGTTGTAATTTTCATTTGAGTTCAGATAAACATTTTGATAATAGTCCACTAGACTGGAAGCAAATGTTAAAGGTGTTGCTACAGATCTTCCTCTATTGAGTGGCAAGATAGTACACACCAGGTGGATTCAAAATAGGAGATTTCTGCTGTAAACTGTTTTGTATTGATTAGTTATTTTTGTTTTTAGTATATTATATTGTTAAAGAGGTGTCAGCAATGGGAAATTCTAGACATCTCATTCTTTTGTACGATGTCCACTTCTACAAGATGACAGTCCACAGTACGGTTATGGGTAATGTTTGTTACTGGTGTCTGGAAAGTGTTGTGAGCTGTATAACATGGAATGGTGTGGGCAGTTAAGCAAATGCTATGAGAAATGGTGTTTCAGAGCATTACAATAACCTGTAGTGCTCAGGAACTGAGGAGTGGTAGTGATTTTCCTAGGGGCTTTTTCCACTCCCTCACTGCCATTCCTGAGATCTCTTTGTGTGCAAACATGATTTTTACCATTGTTGCATTTGTTGGGCAGGAGCTGCATAGTAACTGTATCCTAAATTCTTGAAAACCCATTAACCTTGAAGCTGATGACAACTGAACTGAATTAACTTTCCAAGTTGGACAGTTACTGTAGATTACATTAAGAAAGTGATTTTTGCTTTGCAAAAAAAAAAAATCAGTCATTTTGTTCATGGCTATTAGACTGAATTTGAAGAATTTTGTATTCCAGCTTCACTTATTTGATGGAAACATTGCATTCCGTAACCAAGCATCAATTTATTGGCTGCTAAGAATATTCACTTGCCATCTGTGCTAGGAATTTCTTCAGGAGTGGAGTGCAGTTCCTGATAGGCAATCATAACTTCCCTTTATCCTTTCATGGAATGTGGATATTGCTGGCAAAGCTGGTATTTGTTGCCTATCTCTAAATTGCTCTTGAACTGCATGGCTTGCTTAGCCATGTTTAAGAGTCAACCACATTGCAAGTAATCTGGAATCATGTGTAGGCCAGGACAGATAGGAACAGCAGATTTCATTCTCTGAAGGAGACAACCAAACCAGATGGGTTTTTTAAGTAATCAGTGCTAGTCATCATTGATAAGAATTACAGAGACTAGTTTTATATTCCAGATTGTTAAAAATGGAATTTAAGTTTCACCAGCAGCCATGGTGGTATTTGCATTCACATCCAGGGTAATAGTTTGGGCCTCTAGATTACTAGCCAGTGTTATTGTCATCAAGGTAGCATCTCCCCATAATGTTTGTAGGAACCCCATTAGCAACAGTAATGAGGTTACTGCCAACATTTTGCTGAAATGGTCAATCAGGAAAGCCCATGAGGTATTTCCTGTTTCTGGAATCTAAAGCGACATGACTAGATGTTGACTCTACACATTGGGGTTGTGTTTGTGCGCTCAAGCTGGTGCATTGACATAATTACTGAGTACAGATGCACAGAAGGAATTACTGGATAAAACAGACCACAGTTTGTCTCTCATAGCAGGTGGAACTTAATTTGGACTAATGTGAAGTGATGCATTTTGGAGGGTCTAATGCAGGAGGGCAGCATACAGGAAATGGCAGAACCCTTAGAAGCATTAACAAAGTGAGGGATCTATGTGTACAGGTCCACAGTTCCCCGAAAGTGGCAACACAACGGAGTAAGGTGGTCAAAAAAGTCACCTTTTTTCCCACCAGATAGTCCATTTACCACGTCGTGCCTTTAATTACTTGTACTGTATCCGATAATATTAATATTAAAGAAAAAAATCTAACTTGCAGATTCCAGTGTTTCTGCTTAGGAACCTGTTCCAAAGATTGATCACTTTCCACCACAGGTACAAGTTTTGCTTTGTTGGAGAGAACCGTCAGCTAAGCTAGTCAGTGTTGGTAAGTTTTTCCAGATGGTTACATGATTCAGCTCCTCAACCTGAGGAGGTTCCACCCATCTCCGATCACAGTTTACTTGGATTTCTTTCATTCTTTCCCCACCTGAAATATCAGTTCCACTCAAAAAGATTTTATTTTGATTTTTAAGCCGAAATTTCCATTTTCCAATTTGATAAATTAAACATGTACAGTAGTACTATCCAATATAAGCTGCAGATTGGCTGTGAGTAGGGCCATGGTCACCCATGCCACATTCACTAATTTGCATTAAAATACCTCATTCTAACAATCTCTAAGTAAACGTACTTCACACAAATTTAAACACCAATCACTATTCCTTAACAAAGAGCATAAATAAGAATGGGGTAGAATAACTGGCCCCTTGAAACTGCTCTGCTGTCGGAATAACATCATGATCTGATTATGACTCAAACTCTGCTTTCTTGCATTCCCTTGCAGATAAAAAAAATCTGCCTTGAGTATGTTCAACGACCTCACTTCCATTAGAAAATCCTCAATCTGTCTTAAGTGTGACTCCTGCTTTATTTTGAAAGTGTGCCCCTCCTCAGTTCTAGATTGCTCTTTCAGCAAGAAACATGTAAAGCACTTTGTACAGCTTTTCACCTTGCCAGTTTGCCAACAAACACCTAGTAAGACTAAAGTGTACCTACATTCATTGTGAATATTGAGATTGCCTGAACAATGTTGGAGTCTATTCGTTTTTTATTTGATAATTAAGAATGGACTGTCTACATCTGGATTCTCAACTAGCAATGATGTCATCAAACTGAGGTTACATACAACAAAACAATGTTTCTTTTTGTCATTTTTATTTTGTTGTCACTTAATCTGTATATGTGTATATAATATATTCACAAAGGTGTCTCCAGTTATACGCCAGTGCAACAATATTTGTCAGTTTCACTCATCCTAAGTTTCTTGGAGATTATCGTGATTGTAGCTTTCTACATATTGAACACCCCAGCTTAGTCCAAGCACAGCTGTAAGGAGATGCTGAATTACTGGGTGAATGCTGTACGTTTAGAGTATTTATATTCACTTCGCCTGCTATTTCCCAAGTTTACCCACATGGCATGCAAAGAGGCCAATATGGTTGATATATGTATGATGCTTTTCTGTAAACAAAAAGATTAAAATTACTCAATGTTTTGGAGTAGCCAGGGTAAGTTGTTTTAGTTTTTCTCTTCGTCTGGCCATCCTCTCCCAATCTCTCCCATGTTTAAGATGAGTGATAACTCGTAGGTATATCCCTACATCTTATATTTTACATTAGACGCCACCAACAAGTAATCAGCTGAAATTCTCACTTAGAATTATAGAAACGTACAGCACAGAATCAGACCCTTCGATCCAACTTGTCCATGGTGACTAGATATTCTAAATTAATCTATCCCATTTGCCAGCATTTGGTCCATATCCCTCTTAAACACTCCCTATCAAATAAAGGCATCTGGATGGCTTTTAAATGTTGTAATTGTACCAGCCTCCACCACTTTCTGGCAGTTCATTCTATACATGTACCATCCTCTGCGTGAAATGTTGTCCCTTAAGTGCCTTTTAAATCTTCCCCCTCTCGCCTTAAACCTAAGTCGTCTGGTTTGGGACTCCCCTACCCTGGGGAAAAGACCTTCACTATTCACCCTATCCATGCCCCTCATGATTTTATAAACCTCTACAAGGGCACCCCTCAGCCTCCGACACTCCAGGGAAAATAGCCCCAGCCTATTCAGCCTCTCCCACTAACTCTGACCCTTAACTTTACAATTTATTTATTTTTCCCCATTTCCCATTTTTCACATATTGAATGATGAATACAATTTTTGTTTAATTGCTGAAAGATCAATTGGGGAATAAAGAATAAACTTGCAGACTGAATGACCTTAGTAGATTGTTCCCTCAAACTCTCAATTGGTTTTCAATAAGGATTATTACTTAAACGTGAAATAAAACATCAAGTGAATAAGATCCTATTGCACATTTTAGTTTTTTTCCCTTGACTGGAATCTCTCTCAAAGCTCAAACTTTCCTCTTGACGGTGTACTTAAACATAAATACCTTCATGAGCTGAAAATGGTGGACAAACTCAGTAGATTTGGCAGAGAGAAAATAGAGTTAATGTTTTGGTGACGTTAATGGTTTCTCTTTCTCCAGATACTGCCAGACCTGCTGAGTTTCTCCATCACTTTGTATTTATTTCGGATCTCTGGCATCCATGGTATTTTGCTTTTAATAAGTACCGTTGCTTGACCCTGTGGGCTGCAATTATCAGGGTCAATGCGAGTGTCTGATGGGCCGTGCACTACCTCAGCTTCTACTTTTCACAAAGCAACAGGTCATTGGAGCATAGCCTTGAATGAGAGTATTAATTAAATTGAGTTTCTTAGGGACTGGCAACCTACTGTAGACCCAAAATTCAACTGTCTTCATTGTATTTAAAGTTAATTCCCTACAGAGCTACATGGGTAGGAAACTTCTGGAACATCTTTGGTTGTTTATGGGTGTGTCAGGTGTGAACCAAAAGGACCAGTAAACCCAGCTATTACGTTATCTCAATCCAAAATCCCTTCCCAGACCTCAACAGTTTATTGTCAGTCGAATGATCCCATGAGACTTGCACATAGTTAAGGTGCCTCTGAAGCCTGTTGACACTAGCTTCTCATCTCTGGCATCATACATATGTCCAAACAAGCAGGAACACATGGTGAAGGATGCTGGTAAAGGCAATATTCTGTAGACTTCATCGATCAGAAAAGGCTTGTGTTTTTTTAATAGAAAGCAAACGTCAAGGTACAGTTGTAGGTATCTCAGGAGGAACTTTTTATTTATAAGGCTTTTACATCAGCCATTGTTCTTTCTCTTTGCAAAAGTGCTCAGCCCATTTATGTGTTAGCTCCAAATACAGGTTTGGCTCATGTGGCAAGTAGTCCAGGTAGGTGTATTGTGCAGTCTTCTTTGGCACTGCCTTCTCTATCTGCGTGCCTTCATGCCACTCATTAAAAGATGTGATGGAGATGATCTCGGGTCTCACTGTGAGAGCAGCATGGAGGGCAGTTTCATAGTACTTTCCACTGACCCGGTTCCGTGTGTTATGATTGTTCCACGGACGTATCCTGGTATCTATGTATCCAGGCCCCACACTTGGAATGAACATCAGGTTGTTGCTGTCACAGAAGTTCTTGATAGTCTTCCAGTTTTGGTGGGATGATCCGAATGAGAATCCATTGGATGCGAAGTAGGTGTATAATCCATCAAATCCTGACTCTAGGATGTCCTGTTTGTGCTTCTCCTCCACTAACAGACCAATGAACATTCCGTCATATGGTGTGTTGCGAATACTGAGAGATCCTGAGGATGTGAGCAGATTGGCCCAGGCAGCTGGCAATATCAGGTAGGAGTCATAGATGTAAAACATAGGCAATAATCTGCCAGTGTTGGTCCTGTACTTGTAAAAAGCTGTATGAGACCCATACCTAGACACAGAAAGTAGTGTATCAATGTTGAGAAAACAGAAATTGTAGACATCAAGACATAGAATTTAAGCTTGTGGAGTTGGGAAAGGATTCTCTCTCATGATAAGAAGTTTTGGTAGACTAATTAGTAAAGTTAAGTCACGTGGGGTTCAGGGTGAGCTTGCCAATTAATGGCAGGAGACAAAGTGTGGTGGTGGAGGGCTGCTTTTCGGACTGGAGGCCTGTCACCAGCAGTGTTCCACAGGAACAAAAACAAAGTTGCTGGAAAAGCTCAGCAGGTCTGGCAGCATCTGTGGAGGAGAAAACAGAGTTAACGTTTTGGGTCCGGTGACCCTTCCTCAGAACTGTG